CCAGAATCCTCGGTGGTGAATAAGTTATTTGTGAGTAAAAATCCACAACTTTTACTACTCACACATCTTAAAGTTGCCAAGGTTGAGAAACATTGCTCTAAACCAATCCCAAACCAGGCCAAAATCACAGTGCTGAAATTATTCTATTTGGTCACAAAATGTTGATAGTGCAATTTCAGAAGACCACAGATGAGGTATTGAGTGTGGGGGCTGAATATAGCTTAGGAAGCAAGAATTGATCATTCCTGCTCCAAACTAAACAAACTTGACTGGACTTCTCAGCTTCACCAGTTAAAGTTTAGCTTCAAAGGTGTTTATTGATGAGTGAACCTTAAGGTATGTATTTGTTTAGATAACTGATATGGCCTCCTGTCTCACAAAAGTGACTCTGGATGGCAAACAGAGATTAAAACAAAAGCCACAACATGAAACCCACGGTGCCCAACAATACACCTCAGTCACAAAAAGAAAACACATCAACAATAGCAGACCTCAACTGACCTCCTGGCCCAGATGCCTGGGGAAACAGCCAGGTCTTACAGCCCCATGAAAGGCTAAGAGGGTTGGGGCCATCCGGTGTGATCCTGAGAACATTGCCAGGGAATGAGCTTCACTGAACTGGAAGGACCTTCTTTCTGAGCAAACATACCTAGGATTGAGTTGTATAATATACAGTAGTTGGAAACTCTCATTTGACCCTTACATTCTTGCAGTTACCATTCACTAAACTTGGGACACGGTACACTCTGATGTAAATTAGCTGTGCTAGTAAGCCAGCGGTATGCAGGTTCCTTCTGGTCAAGGGCAACTCATAGAGAAGGCAGAATCAGAATAAAAAAATGGGTTGGAGCTGATGACCTTAAATGTGACTTGCTTTAACACTACTGTGATGGCATCCATTGTGTTTGGATGAATTTCCCCCTTCCGTTGCAATTAAAAATTACAAGTCAGTGGCGATGTATGAAATGAGGGGAGGAGTTGCCACTGCCAAGGTTTTTTGGGTGGTGGAGGGAGGGAACACATGTAGTTGTCCACCTCTGTAACAATTGTCCTTGTTCAACACTGCCCTTTGTTGCTCCACCAGTGTCGATGGTGGGGAGTTATTTGACCGGATCATAGATGAAAACTACAATCTTACTGAGTTGGATGCTATCTTGTTTACCAAACAAATATGTGAAGGAATATATTACCTGCATCAACAGTACATCCTTCATCTTGATCTGAAGGTAAGTTTGGGACCTACTACCAATATAGCTTTAAATCCAGGGCAGGGAACACTGTTGGGGTCATGCTTTTGAACATTATTTTAGCCACATGGAAGTAGAGATGTAAAAACACTATTGGATAGGATGATCCCGATTTGGGGCTTCATTTCCTTCACCCTCTCTCTTCTTTTAAAGGTATGATTGAAAAAGTCAGACACCATTCTCCCCATATTGTTCAACCGAAAGCTGGCTGATAATTATGCTGCGGTTTATTTAATCACCTGCTACCGGATTTCAGTGGCATGATCTTGCAAGACTTTGGGATCCCCCCGAAGGCCATGTGAGATTGGGCTGTGGATTGTCCACTGGTGCCTGAATAATTGCTCCTTCCACTACCGGCTCTGGGCTTATGAGTGCATCATTTGCACTGCAAAATGATACCATGTGCAGGCTAACTGCACACAGATTAAACAGCATGCAAGAGCAGAAAAATAAACTAACCTTGACATCTCTCCCTACTGCTACATTTTGTGGCAGGCTTTCTCTTTGGTGATAGGTTTGAATGGGGGAATGTGTATATGGCACTGCCTCCGTGCAACGGCCTTGCAAAGTAGGTTGGGCTGAGGAGCAGGGCCTGGACTGAGAGTTTTCTAACTGGGAGGTCACACTGGGTCTCCCCACTTGAATCATCTCATCGTATCTTGGGCTCATTAATGGTAAAAATGGATTCTGGAAAGGGATTATAAAGATGGGTCTAAGCTTGTCCTCTTTCTTCTTTTGTAGCCTGAGAACATACTTTGTGTGAGTCACACTGGAAACCAGATTAAAATAATTGATTTTGGACTAGCAAGGAGGTAAGCCTCCTCCCCCTGACTTTATATTTTGTTGATGTTTTCTTTAATCCTTTAGCATCTAACGTTGTAGACTATAAATATTTTGTGATCTCGCCTGGAAGTTCACTGAAAAGCTGCCCATTGCCATGGTGACTGTGGTTTCTCTTAAAAGGCACTTTTTACTAGAACGTGCCTGCTATCACAATATTTTTGCACACTGATGCCTATATTGCTGTAAACTCATCATCTACCCCCCCATCTGCTCTACACTCACCACCCGCCTGTTTTCCTTTCTCATCTTTGGTAAAGGTACAAGCCTCGTGAGAAGCTGAAAGTCAATTTTGGCACACCCGAATTTTTGGCTCCTGAAGTTGTGAACTACGATTTTGTGTCCTTCCCAACGGACATGTGGAGTGTAGGCATCATAGCATACATGCTGTGAGTAAACCCTGTTTTTCAAGGAGTGGGAAGGAAGGGAAGGGAGCCATTCTCAAAGACTGCTCGGTATGGAAAACCAGGACCCAACATTTCAGGAGGCAGAATTGTAGAAGTTGGCTAGACCTTTCAGGGAGTTGCTCTTTTGGTTACCTTTATGACATGATGGTTGGGAGGAGAGAAGAATGAGCATAAGTAGCATAAAGGGAACATCTCTTGTGATTAAGGCCAGGAAGAATTTAACCTAACTGTGACTGAGGTCAATTCTGCTCATATTCTTTCTAAAGTCATCTCGCTTGCTCAGACTTGGCCTACGCCCAAACGCTGCCCATAGATGAACTACCCTTTATTACAGTGCATGCAGCTAGATTTTGCACAGCAGCATGGAGGATCCACCAGACCTTGATGGGCCATGTCCCTGCTACACCAATGTATTTTATGTAATTTTATATATTATCATTTTTGGGGTAATTTTACATATTATCACAGTTTATGTAAATTTTAGATAGCATAATTTTTTCTAATTTTAGATGTTATCACATTTTATATAACTTTAGATACTACCAGCTAGATTTTGCACAGCAGCATGGAGGATCCACCAGACCTTGATGGGCCATGTCCCTGCTACACCAATGTATTTTATGTAATTTTATATATTATCATTTTTGGGGTAATTTCTGCTGTACGGCCAGTTTATGTAAATTTTAGATAGCATAATTTTTTCTAATTTTAGATGTTATCACATTTTATATAACTTTAGATACTACCTTATAACTAGGACAGGGATTACTCCTTTTGGACTTCACTCGTGGATTCTAATCCGGTTGTTTTACTGATGTATTTTCATTTTGTCTTCAATTTTATTTACTGTCTCTTAAGATAGATTAATCAGTACTCACAGAGCACTCAGGGACACGTTGCTTGTACTGGTCTAAGACTGTATAAACTGACGGACTGACATTCTGAATTCTACCTTTGGATTATTTTGAACATACTGACAGAGTAATAATGAGCAATATAGAATAATCCCATGAACTCTATTTAATTTTTATTATATATAAGTGAAAAGAAATCGGATTTAAGTTTTTCTCCTAACTGGACTATAGTTTTTGGGGTGTGACCCTTGGCAGATCAATTGTTGTTCTTGTCCTGGTCAACTTGGGCGCCTTTACTTATGATAAGTATGGCTGTACAGATTGTCCCTGATCTCAACAGTGGCAGCCCTTGGCTTATCTTGTCTGGGCTTGGACGCTAGCAAACATTCATATCCTTGCCAAGAAAATTGCATGGTTGTAACTATGTAGTCAACAAGAGTTGAGCTCATCATGAAGACATCTTCACCTTAATACGCTTTCCTCAAAGAGTTGCATTTTGGCACCTTCTCCAAGCAATTGGAGCTCTTGGAGGCAAGTTGTGGATTAGCTACAAAGCGCAAAGCATCTCCGAGCAAGGTCTTCTTTCTATTTTAGGGTCAGTGGCTTGTCGCCTTTCCTTGGAGAAACTGACGCAGAGACCATGAATTATATTGTCAACTGCAGCTGGGATTTTGATGCAGAAGCATTTGAACAAGTGTCAGAAGAGGCAAAGGACTTTGTTTCCAGACTTCTCATAAAGGAAAAAAGGTGTTACTTGCTATGGTGTCTTATCCTAGCTGGTTCCAGATCGTTCGGTCCCTCCCCTACACACACACACACACACACACACACACAGAGCCTTGTTATAATTACAGTATTTAGTGAATTAATGTAAGTATGTGGTCTGAACCCAGTCAATCATGCTTTATTCCATAAACCATGGCTGAAGATGCGAAGAAGCGACTAATGTGTGCATGTGTGCATGTATAATGAAGGAAGGCACGCTCTACATTCCAACCTGCTCCTTCACACATTCTTTTTTCTCCCTTCTCTGGTCCTGATCTCACAGTGGCAGAATAAGTGCAGCCAATTGTTTGAAACATGAGTGGTTGACCAACCTGTCTGCCAAGGCTAAGAAATCGAAAGCTCGCTTGAAGTCCCAGATGCTCCTACAGAGATACATGGCCCAGAAGAAATGGAAGGTAAATGCCACACTGGTTTCCTTTCTTTTCTGAGCACAGCTCACGGTGCCTGTTGTTGCCCATAAACTACAGCTGACACTGACTGTCCCAGAAAGTAGTCTGTGTTAGCATGGCACTAATTAGCTTACTAGATTTTAGCAGCTTGGTGTGTATGGTCTGCTTATGATCGTAGTGGGTCCTGCAAACCCATACACTTAGTTTAATCAGATACTTAATCATTAAACTAACTGGGAATGAACATGTCCTACATCAGCAGGTCATGGAACCTGACCAACCTTGTTAGGGCTCAGAAGCAAAGGAGGATTGGGCTTGGTTAGCACTTGGACAGAAGCCCCCCAAAGGAATATCAGGACTGTAGGCTAGACTGGGAAGCTGAAAAACATCCTGGAACACTTCTGTGTTCTTGCTAAAAATGTAGTCATGAGTCAAGCTTGAGTCAAGAGCATCTTAATGTTATTTTATATGAAGCATGTCACGAAAACACATCTGTAGTGACAGTTTTAGAAATGGACTTAAACTCATGGTGGATAAGGCTAATGATGCTTACTAAGGATAGCATGTGCAGCAATTTGCAGTTTGGCCTGCATATCAGCAGCTGGAAACTAATAGCAGGAGTAGGATAGCATGTGCAGCAATTTGCAGTTTGGCCTGCATATCAGCAGCTGGAAACTAATAGCAGGAGTAGGATAGCATGTGCAGCAATTTGCAGTTTGGCCTGCATATCAGCAGCTGGAAACTAATAGCAGGAGTAGAGCTAGTGCCTCATATCCTGTGTGTTATCTTCCAGAAGGCATCTTAGCCACTGTAAGAAATAGGATGCTGACAAAATCTGGAATGGCCAAACGGGGCCCTGAAGAAGCTGTTGAATTCCATTCCCCTGTCGGCCCTAGCAGCTATGATCAATTGGATCATAGGAACAGGGAACTACAGGCCAACATCTGGAGGATTTCTCTCTCCATCATCTCCTTTTGAACTAGATGGACCATTGACCTGATCTAGTGTTCTTGTGAGACTTAACAGTTGTCTGTTACATTTGAATCTGGCTTCTCCTGTACAAAAATGCTGAATCTTTGGTGTTTCAACTGCCTTTCTTACCAGCATTGTAATTTGGTCGCTAATGGCAAAATGTGGAATTTGCTCCATCAAGAAACAAGGGATGTTAGGACTATCCTCTGGGGAGAGTTCAAGTATTGGCATTGACCCCATGTGCCACTTTTTCCCTTGATCACATCAACATTTTGTATCTCCAAATGATCGTATGTACTAGCAGGCTAGTTTTAAGCAATGGATATGCTTGATCAACTGGCAGAAGATGCATGCTGAACATGATGGGGATAAGCTGGTCTGTGGGCGCAGGTGGTATCGAATATGTAAAAACAGACACATTTGGGTAGGGATCTCAAAAATCTCTATGAATGTGTTATCATGAAATTACAATCCAACACTGTAGGAATCTTACAAGTCTTGTCATTTCAACATTTGTCTTTTACAGAAGCACTTCTATGCGGTCACAGCTGCCAACAGATTGAGAAGATTCCCTAACATGCCCGAGAGTCCTGCTGCTGAAGATAACTGAGACTTGATGATTTTAGCAATTAGTCCATTTCCACCTGTTTCACATTAAGATTTCTTTCCTCTTCTTCCTCTTCCTCTATTATACACCCATTATCCTGCTTAAGTTAACCCCCTCAAGCCTAAGAAGACACAATGGGACTTCCTACACCAAGGGAAGACTGACTGCAAAGGGAAAAGAGGAAAAATGCTTGAATTATACCTCTTAGACTTTCATTTCTGTAATTATATATTAGTGAATAGCAACGGCCTTTTCTGTTGGGGACTGGTTGTCTTATTGTAAAGAATGTTATGGTGTGAGAATGTCAAGTCATGACTGGAAGGTTTAACTTCAAGTAGAACATGTAGCTTCTGCAGAGCTTGTGCTAGTTATTTTCTGAGTTCAGTATTTTTGCTTTGAAAATAGAACTTTGGGTAGTGATCGATAGCTTTAAAAACACTTGCCAAGCCATTGTATTGGGATTTATCACCTTTTATACACTCACGTATGGCTTCCATTTTGCTTAACTTTCCTAATCTTTTTTTTAAATCAAATTGAGCCTGAAATGATCCATGTAATTATTTGCTGCTGTCTGTGTCAAGGACACCAGCTTGGGGTTGTGTGGGAAAGGGGTGATATAAATAAAATGACTTAATGGGTTGTTACCCCCGACAGAAGTTGTTGCTGACAATGGGGGGAGGGGGGGATTAAGAACAGAATTTAAACAGCATAAACCGTTAAAAAAACCTCAGTAATAAAACTTTAAACTTCCAGAACCAGGAAACGTTTTCACATTTATGGAGATGTGGATATGAAGAAGTAAATCCAAGAGCATGAAGGATTAACACGGAGAACCTCTTTAATGAAGTTTCCAGGAGAAATGTCAAGCAGCAGCTTTATGTTAACTAGGCTCACCCATTGTGTTAAGCTATGATTAAATAAACCACAATCATTAGCTTCACATAATGTTAACCAAGAGCTGACCAACCACCTTATAGATTAATGCAATGTGTAAATCTGCCGAGTCATTTCATTTTGCCCATAGAATAGCTAGCTGTTATTTCTATATTGTGCAGAAGCTGCTTGGAATATGATTGTGTACCCTAAAAATATAGGGGATGCGGTGGCGCAGCAGCTTAATGACGCTGAAAGTTGCTGGCCAGAAATGGTCGATGCTTCAG